AGGAGGCTTACCTCCGAGCAGTTGACGAGGGGCCGGCGTGCACGATGGGGCTGCAGTTCGGCCACGCGCTGCTGGACGTGCAAGAGTTCTACGACGCGATCCCATGGCTGCCGCTGGCGAAGGCGGCCCTCCGCCTCCGCTTCCCACCAGTCATCCTCGACCTCGAGCTGGTGATGTGCGTGGCCGCGCGGACCCTCTCCCTGGAGGGGGCTGTGTCGGCGCCCTTCGAGCCATGCCAGAGCGTGGTGCAGGGATTGAGGTCAGGGACACGGCTTGCCAGAGTGTTGACCCATTTTGTCATGCAGGCCGTGACGACGGCGACGCCGATGATGGCACATAGGGTTTGGATCGACGATATATCACAAAAGACGACGGCTCACGCCAGTCGGTGAGGACCAACCTCACCAAGAGCGTGGTCAAGACAGGACGTGAGTTGAGTAAAGCTGGGTTCAAGCTTGCCAAGAAGTCTGTCATCATGTGCACCACCAGTCAAGATGCGCATATGGTCGCCAATGCCATTAAGCTAAAAGGGTTCGTGGTGAGAGTGGTTCAACAGGCAGCGTATATTGGAGTGGATTTGTCGTGCGGGCGTGGAGGACGATCCGCCCGTACACAGAGACAGGAAAAGCATAAACGGATGAATGGCAAGATCGTTCGCTATTGTCGGGCAGGACGACGGTATCAACACTGATCGAAGCTGGAGAAGAACGGAGGCCAGCCTGCGGGCACATATGGTTTTCAAATCCATGGTATTTTGGGGGAACAGTTGAAGATATGCCGCCGCAGGTTGGGACAAACATGTGCAAGTGGAGTCCGCGGTCGGTGCTTGACCGCCTTTCTGGACCTGAGAGCACCGTCCTGCGACCCTGGGGTCGCATACCCAGTGCGCTGCATCGACATGTGGATGAGCACGTGGCAGTCCCAGCCTGACTTGCGGAAAAACATCAAGTATGTGTGGCCGCGGATCGTGACCGAGATGCGCAGCAGGCCCACCAAGGATCAAGTTCGAGCTGTCAAGGGACCCATCTCGGCCACAATCCTGACCTTGCTCAGGCTTGAGTGGGGCCCAGTCAGCATCTCGGTGTGGTCCTACGCGTCACAGCACAACACGGCTGAAGAGTGGCAGTTCCCAGATGAGATCTTCACGGGCAACAAATGGCTGGACAATCATTCGAGGGCTTCTCACAGATGTGAAAACGTCTGCAGAGCTTATCCAGTGGCGCCAGGCCGCCGGGCCCTACTGTGGAGGGGGTATGGAGGACGGTGTGGACAATGAGTCGTTCCGACTCCTACTACACCAAGTCTACAATGAGTCGTTCCGACTGCGGCTGACCGAGATCTTGATCAATATTGCCACTGGAGGCTTTTGGACGAAGACGAGGAAGCGTGAGGAGCTCAGGAGCTACCGCGGCAATGATGTTTGCGACCGTTGTCGAGAGCACCCCGAGACCCCGTGCCACCGCTCGTGGAGTTGCTCCAAGAATGCTGGTGCCCCCCCATACACGGCGACTGAGGAGCTGGTGCCCCAGGCGCTGGCCCAGGTCAACACGGCGGAGTGCTTCTGGCTGAGGGGCCTCATACCGTCCCAGTGGCTGGAGGTGCCGAGGGCGCCGCACGACGACCAGTGGGAGTTCGTCGGGGTCAACGAGCTGACCCAGGGCGTCTTCGGCGAGGGATCGGCAACAGCGCCGATTCAAATCTACGGCGACGCCAGCGGAGGAGCCGACTCGGCCATGACGAGGCTGAGGAGAGTGGGTGTCGCGATCGTGTGCACGGAGACGATTCTCCCAGAGCTGCGCATCACAGGGGCTGTCTTTGGCCCTCTGCAGGGCGATCGCCAAGTTGTGCCGAGGGGTTAGCTGATGGCGCTCTACCTTGCGATTTGGACCACGGCCAGATATTTGACGTACACCACCGACTGCGAGGCTGTGGCCCAGGGGTGGTACGAGAAGCGATTCGAGCAGCCGACGGGTATAGACGCGGACCTGTGGCAGAAGATAGGAGATCTCATGCAGGCACGCTCCTTCTGTGACGTTGTGGTGCTTGGGACCAAGTCACACCTTGGACCAGCAGAGATTGTGGATGGAAAAGGCACACGCACGCTCGTCATAGGCAATACTCTGGCAGATGAGTTCGCGGGCTTCGCCGCGGAGAAGGCCCGCATACCGCAGGCCATTCGCACGCGTGTACTTTGTGACGAGCGCCGTGCCTTCCTCGTGCGTATGATATTGTTGAGAGCTGCTCTGGACAGCATGCAGGCCACACTGGAGGCCGAGCGTGAGGACAAGCGGAAGCCTCGTGAGGCCCCCGCGGGCCCGCCTCCCCCTCCTCCCCCTCCTCCCGTGCCTGCTGCTGCTGTTGCGGCCATTCAATCTCGTCACCGTCTGGCCGACAGCCAGAGGAAATGCCTTCGGTGCTTTGGATCAGCTTCCGCCGACACTGTAAAGGAGTTCTGGGCGTCTGAGTGTAATCCCTTGTATAATGTCAATGGGGTCATGTT